CTCTTCCCCACCCCTACCCCCACAAAGAGTGAGTTTTCACCCTCCTCTCTCTTTGCCCTCCCTCCCTTCATCAGATCCCTCTCAAATCCGAGCAAGTTAGTTGTTTTGTTTGTGGATTTCTACTCCTGTGTATCCCTAGAGGTATTTTGCCCTATCTCTCGTCGATTTCTTTAGATGAAATCTTTTAATTTGGTGGAATTTCATTCGTGGAAACCCTAGGCCTACCTTAAAATCTATTTGGTGGAATTTGACGTATGTGCATTAGTGTGAGTAGTATATTTGAAAGGAAACACTTGTGTGCTTTTATGGGTTAGCTTATGTTGAATGTTTCTCCATTTAGACATGAATTATTTTAGACAAAAACTATTTATTATTGAATGTCTTTCTTTCCAGATTTAATGTTATGTCAACCGCTTATCCATTTGGACAAGAATCACTTGGATTTTACCCTTGTGCGATGAGGAGTGTTGTTTGACCCGATTAGCACCAGTGTTTGATTAGGGGAATGTTGGGTTTAATTAGGCCCCAATTAATACATTTTAAGGCTAATGATGATTTCTAATTAGCAATCGATGTTGGTTCTTGCACCCCTCTTTGGACATACCCTTTACTCTTCGAACTTCCGCCTTTACTCTTTGAATACACCCCTTTTGTTGGCGTCTCTGGTACTCATAGAAATGGATACATCATCAATGAAGATTTACACACTTTTAGTTACTGATTTCATTAAAGCTAATTACATTAATAACATAACAAAGGGATAGTATCCCACTCGGGCACGAGTGGCATGCTACTCGCACAAACCCCGAGGCAATTGTATCCTTTCCTTTCAACCCGCACCCCAAAGAGTGAGAGCAATTGCCCTCCGCTCTCCCCTTCCCTCCCACCCTCTCAGACCTCTCTCAGGACCGATCAAGTTATTTGTTATTTGTGAATTTCTACTCCTTTATATTCCCAGAGGTATTTTGTCTTATCTCCCAAATTATTTTCTAGCTGGAATCTTAAATTTGGTGGAATTAGATACATGGAAACCCTAGCTCTAGCGTTTTGTTTTAAATATAATATTTTTCATTGTATTTAGCATTAATGAGTAGTATAATGGGTAGGAAACATAATTTGCTTGGATGCATAGTCAATTTGTAGGTTTGGGTTATGTGGAATGCTTCTCCAATTAGACAATAATTATTTTACAAAAATATATTTATATTTGAATGTTATAATTTTGAATGTTAATTTTATGTTGATTGCTTCTCCATCGTGACAGGGTTCATGTGAATTTCATGAGCATTAGTACTTAGTGAACCGAACAACAACTCCAGAACATAGTGATGCCTTCTGCCATGGCTGCGTGCCCAAGGAAACGCCGCCACTCTATGGTGGTTACGTCAGATCATGTCATGGTGGTACCCTACAACTCTCCATGGGCGTCATCACTGCATGCTGATTTGCTTCTGCTGGTAGCTTGGCGCCTTCTGGATGGTGACTTGATGGACTATGTTCGCCTTCGAGCTGTGTGCAAAAATTGGCGGTACGCCACTATTTGCCCACGCGGTCGTGGCATCACCGATTCTCGTTTCCACCCGCGCCGTTGGATGATGTTGCCCGAGGGTCACGGTCTCCACCCTGGCCACTACAAGCTCGGGGGGTTTGTTCGCTTTCTCAACCTTGACACGGGGACATTGGTCCGTGTCAAGCTCCCGTTGTTCAAGAACCACTGCATTCTTGACTCAGTCAACGGCCTCCTCCTCCTCCAGAGGGACGAGGACTCTGCCATTCTCCTCCTCAACCCTTTCACTAGTGACATCACTGAGCTCCCACCACTCTCCACCCTCCTCACGCAAGTGGTGAAACAGTCTGAGATCACAGTTGGCCTATGCTACTGCTATCTCCTCAAACATGGCATGTCTACTGCTGTCTTCTGCAACAATGACGGTACCACCACCGTCATGATTATCTTGCATCATTTATCACAGTTGGCCTATGCTACCTCCCAAGACAAGCAATGGATCATGGCGAGCTGGGATCTTCCGTTAAACATGAAAGCTTTGTCATGTCAAGGCAAGTTATACTTGGTGCAGTATCCTGCATCTCATGGTTCACAGGTTCTTCAGATTGACCCACCCTTGCAGGTTGGTTCGCCGCCACCACGGCCAAAGTTAATCGCCACATGCCCAACAAATAAACTTGTCTATGGTTATCATCTGGTAGAATGTGACTCGAACATCCTTCTTGTTTGCCATACCGATGATTCTCGATCACCCATTTTGATTTACAACCTTGAGAATATTACTGCGGGAAGGTTTACCCCGGTAAGAAGCATTGGAAAGCATGCCCTCTTCCTCGGAGAAAGGAGTCTGAGTGTCTCCTCTAAGGCATTGCCTACTATCATGGCTGAAACTGTCGTCTACAAAGAACCAAGGGAGCATCGCTTTGTGCAATACCACCTCGGTACTGGCAATTGGTCTGAACCAGTTGACGAATGTGGCATCTATGGATATAGCCCCGGTCCTCATAGCCTCATCCAACATATCATTACTTGTTGCATTCGTCGTGCTTGGTACGTAATTTCTTTTTATCTCGCATTATTCTCTTGTTATCAACTTATCATAATTGTTCATCGTATCATCTTGTTTAGAAGCCACGCTAATATGTTCTCATTTTGTCCTTATAGGAACAAAGGGTTGATATATTCTGAAGCGGAAGCGTATAAGCCTGGATGGCTCACCTGGAAGGTTAAGAGAAAGTTTCGCCATTGGGTACAGTTTTCTCACAATTAATCCCCATTCTACTCTATAGTGTCCTTGATCTACTCCCGTCTGACAAAATTTAATAGTCATAATCACCCAATTCAGTAGCTGCTTGATGAGATTGTTCTTGTGGTACTTATTATAGTTGCCTTTCCAGATATATTTGGTAACCATTGAATTAGGATGCCCGGTTTCTTCATATTGTCTCATGCAACTAAGTATTCGTGTATCCCCTTCTATGTTGGTACATTTATGTCTTTGTATGCAATTTGACCAAGATACTACTATATCACAATTTGAGTTGTAATCATGTGAAAGCTTTCTTTCTCTGGGTGTTATTTGGAACATGTGCTATTGTTGTCAAAAGTATTTATATTTCTTTTTTTTTTCGAGAATGACGGGGGGCATTGTGCCCCACCGGTTGTTATATTACTCGAAGGACCTGGCAGTCATACAGTGTTTTTCATCGAAAAGATAAAAAACAACATGATAAGAAGCGAAAAAAAAAGAGAAACCCGCCATGAGGCAGTCTAGAGGACTGAGAGAAAGAAAAGTCGGATGGCCAGAAGTCGATCCCGAGACGGAGCGTCATAGCGCTTGCTCCAAATCAGGAGGTCGTCGGCCGTCCTCGCGAGGATATCACAGGCGGTGCAGCGTATGTTGTTGAAGGTGGCGTTGTTCCTGGCCTTCCAGATCTGCCAGAGAAGCACGTAGAGCCCATCTTTCCACAACGCAGCCACGTCGGCGGACGGCGAGGGAGAGGCGAGGATCGCATCCACCGAGGGGAAAGGGCCCAGATCGAGGCGAGTCCAGGTCGAAACCGCACGACCGCAGGCGGCGAAGATGTGAGAAGTGGACTCCTCGTTGGGGCAGGAGGCGCACGTGCTGGAGGGGGTGCAACTCTTCGCATGCAGGTTCTTCCGGGTACTAAGGCGGTCCCGGACCAGAAGGCACGCGAAGATCTTGATCTTCCGCGGGAGACGCGAACTCCAGATGTCGATGGAAGACTGGCAGAGCACCCCGTGGGGGGACATGACCCTGAACGCGGCGCGCGAGCTGAACTCCACGTCCTCCCCCCAGGCCATGAGTCGACGATCCGGAGCGTCCACAAGCCCAAGGTCACTGATGATCGCCTGCACAGCCGCAAGCTGGGAAGCGGCAACGGAGGAGAGGCGCCTCTGGAGGTGCAGACCGTCGGCGGACACTGCTGCCACCGAGGCGTTCGAGCGCGTCGAGTGAGAGTACAATGCCGCGTACTCAAAGCAGAGGGCGCGGCCGGGCCGCCAACGGTCGTGCCAGAACGAGGTGGCGCGCCCGTCGCGGAGATCCACGCGGGTGATAGACCTGTACGTCGGGAGGCCGCTGAGAATGATGGCCCCAAGGAAAGAAGGAGCCGAGCAGAGGTCGCCAACATCTCTCCTGGTGGTGCTGAGAAACCACCGTTTCCACGGCGGACAGTCGGGTTGATGAAGCTTGTGGACGAAGTTGAGGAGCAGACACATGTTCTGCCGACGGAGATCCCGGATCCCGAAGCCGCCTTCCTGCACATCTACACACACTTTATCCCAAGCAATTAGACAACGCGCACCGGAGCAAGTATCCTTGCCGGTCCAAAAAAAGGCACGACGCCTACGATCAATCAACTCAATCACACCAGAGGGAAGCAAGTACGAGCACATGAAGTAGGTGGGGAGGTTGTTGAGAACGGCATTACAAAGGACCATCCTACCCCCTGACGACAGGAGGAGGGCACGCCAACCAGAGAGGTAACGGTCAAAGGAGCGGATAAGAGGGTCGTAAGCGGAGATGGGAAGTTTCCAGGGGGAGAGGGGGAGACCCAGGTAGGGTTGAGGGAAGGAGGAGATGGGACAGCCGAGGGTAGTAGCCATGGCGGCTGACAGATCGTCGGGGCAGTGCATGGGAATAAACCCAGACTTGTGGAAGTTGATGGCCAGGCCGGTAGCAAGGGCGAAAGAGTCAAGGATGGTTTTGAGAGTCGCCGCCGACTGGGGGTCCGCACGGCAGAGGATAAGGGTGTCGTCGGCGTATTGGAGCACAGGGCAGGGGAGCGAGGGGTCAATCGGGTGAGCAAGCCTCCCATCCGAGGAAGCCGAGCGAATAAGACGCTGGAGGACATCGGCGACAAGAATAAAAAGGTACGGCGAAAGCGCGTCCCCTTGACGGAGGCCATTGCGGCAAAGGATCCAGTCCCCAGGGATAATGTTGAGAAGGACGGCGGTGTGTCCTGTAGAAAGAATGTCTCGGATCCAACCGCACCACCGGGAGTTGAATCCACGGGCTGAGAGAACGGAAAGGAGGCTGGACCAGTTAACCGAGTCGAAAGCCTTCCGAAAGTCGATTTTGAACACAATCGTGGGGGCTTTCCGGACGTGGCAGGCACGAAGGAGGTCGGCCGCGTAAACAATGTTTTCTGAAATACGCCGACCCGGAAGAAAGCCGGTTTGGTCAGGATCGACGAGAGAGTGAATGTAACGCTGCAGCCGAGTGCACAAGGCCTTGGTGATCGCCTTCATGATGCAATTTTGAAGGGAAATGGGGCGAAAGTCTTGGGGGGAACGAGCCGCCTCAAACTTGGGGAGGAGGACCAGGAAGGCACGGTTAATGCGAGAGAGGTCGAGAGACCCGGAGTAGAAGTCATGGAAGACCGCCTCAACGTCTGTCGCGATAGTGGCCCAGAAGGAGACATAGAAGGAGGGGCCGAACCCGTCTGGGCCGGGGCTTGAGAGACGATTCATGTCCAGGAACGCCTGTCGGATTAGTATTTATATTTCTCACTAGGTGCTTTCCATAACTTGTGTGGGGGATAAATTCCTGTAACTTATCATGCTAGAAACCATGTAGTATTGTTAGCTCTTCGACCAGAACAAAGCGGAATGATTGTGCTCGATGAAACAATGTAATTGTAGATATTCTGTTGGTTAATTTTCTTTTATGTCTAGATGCCTTATTTTTTTGTGCTTGATAACTTTGGTATAGATTGTATGATGTCTCACCTGACACCTCCTTTTGTATTTTTTAAAATTTTTTTTGCAGTCTTAAAGTGATGCAAAAGCATGTCAATGGATTTCAATTCTCCTGGGTTTTACACAGATGAATGAACAAGAGAGGAGAGCTTAGTTATTTTAAAAATACCTTTGTTACCGTTTCCTTGTTACAACAACTCATTCCCGCGGTGCCTATCGTTACTTTGAGACAAATAAATGAACTTTGATACTTGTAGCCATGTAGCGCACAAACAAACTGTGCACTCATGAAAGATATAAGTACATTGCTTGCTATATATGAATATCCTACATGATCATGAAGTGTATTATTGGACATAGGGAATTATTACAACAAATAAGCATAGAAATTATGCTAATCTCAGAAATTCTTCTTTTTATCACACAAATGCATGAATCAAATTTGAACTTAAATCTTTGTGTCACAGTACGTGTCAATTGTGTAACCCACTAAGGAGTCCAAACATATTTGGCTGTGCTCTAGTGGCAGCAACACCGCAAGACAAGCAGGTACTATTCACTATGTTATTGCTGGACCAGGTTCCAAAGAAAATTGGTATGGAATAAATTATCTCCCTGACGGCTAGAAACCATCAGGGATGGCAGCAAAAACAGTCAGGAACGCCTTACTTCAGGTATAATGACAACAGTAATACTCATTGACGATCACAGCCGGAACTTTACAAGGAACACCTTCTCAGAAACTCCACCGCCCGTGTAAAACTGCTGCAGTGTCTTACTACAACTCCACAAGATCTTTGAACGTAGCAATCGAGAGGAATAGACTTACGGCAACACATCACAAGATAGCTCAAATAAGGCAATGACATGCAAAACAATGATCTCAAGCTCAACATTCATGTCTAGTATTAAAAAGGCTGGAACTTTACAATAAGCCCAAAATGCACTTCGCTAGGTGTGTGTGTGTGGGTGTGTGGGTGCGTGGAAAAAATAATTTAGAGGCACCTAGTTCTTCTAAAATGAAGAAAAAGAAAAATGATAGGACTTTGCATGCTTCTAGTGAACCTGCTGTAGACACACCTGAGAATCCCAATGATATTTCTATTTCTGATGCTGAAACACAATCAGGTGATGAACATGAACCTAGTGATAATGTTAATGATAATGTTCATGTTGAGGCTCCATCTAGCAAGAATAATGATGTAGAGGTTGAACCTGCTGTTGATCTTGATAACCCACAATCAAAGAATCAACGTTATGATAAAAGAGACTTTGTTGCTAGGAAGCACAGTAGAGAAATAGAATCATGGGTTCAGAAACCCATGCCCTTTCCTCCTAAACCATCCAAGACGAAGGATGATAAGGATTTTGAGCGCTTTGCTGAAATGATTAGACCTATCTTCTTACGTATGCACTTAACTGATATGCTTAAATTAAATCTTTATGCTAAGTACATGAAGGATATCATTACAAATAAAAGAAAGATACCAGAGGCTGAAATTTCCACCATGCTTGCTAATTATACTATTAAAGGTGGAATACCAAAGAAACTTGGAGATCCAGGGGTACCAACTGTACCATGCTCCATTAAAATAAACTATGTTAAAACTGCTTTATGTAATCTTGGAGCCGGTGTTAGTGTTATGCCTCTCTCTTTATATCGTAGACTTGAATTGAATAAGTTGACACCTACTGAAATATCTTTGCAAATGGCTGATAAATCATCTGCTATACCTGTTGGTATTTGTGAGGATGTGCCTGTTGTGGTTGTAAATGTCACTATCTTAACGGATTTTGTTATTCTTGATATTCCCGAGGACGATACTATGTCGATTATCCTTGGTAGACCCTTTTTGAATACTGCAGAGGCTGTTATTGATTGCAACAAAGGCAATGCCACTTTTTATGTTAATGGTAATGAGCATACAGTACACTTTTCAAGGAAACAACCTCAAGTTCATAGCATCAATTCTATTGGAAAAATTCCAACTATCATTATTGAAGGTTTTGAATTTCCTCTTCCTACTGTTAAGAATAAATATGATA